AAGGAAGGAAGGAAGGAAGGAAGGAAGGAAGGAAGGAAGAAAGGAAGGAAGGAAGAAAAAGAAAGAAAGAGAAGAAAGAAAGAAACAGCATTTCAAAAGACAGAGGAAAAGCCAGGTTACCCAACAAGCGCTGCGCAAGCCTCAGCAGAGTCGGCTTCTATGCTCTCCTCTCTCCATCTCAGAAAAGTGAAAAGGACGTGAGATTTCAGTTCTTGCTCTGTAGCTTGGAGGTGAGACATGCCAGTATCAGAGATGACAGTCATGCTCACTCTGTCAGAGCAAACAAAGTCTGGAAAGACCCACGCTCAACACAAGCAAGCTGGGTCAGCCAAGTATACTATAGAAAAGCAACAACAACAAAAAGAAGCAAGCAGAATCCCAAAGAAGAACCAAGAACCCAGCCTGGGAAATATATAGAGAGAGCAAAATTTAGAAAAACCCACAAAGCTCTCCATGAATGCTGGTTTTATGGAAGACTGTGATAAGAACATGAATAAAATAAAACAAGACGAAGTTCAAAGACGGAGCAACAGAATTCCCAGAACATTGTTAAAATAAGAATGGTGAAAGCAGACATCCTTGTTTTGTACCAATTTTTAAGGGATTTATTTAGTGTTTTGCTATTATAATGTTGGATGTTATTTTCAATTCGTTTTTCTTTATCATACTAGGGAAACAGCATTCTATTTTTAAGTTATAGCTTTTGTTTTTTGTTGTTTGGGGTTTTTTGTTTGTGTTGAGACCAGCCTGGGCAACGTGGTGAAAGCCCATCTCTACTAAAAATACAAAAACTAGCTGGGCATGGTGGTGGGCACCTGTAATCCCGGCTACTCAGGAGGCCGACTCGGTTGCCCAGGCTGGAGTGCAACGGTTGAGATCTCGCCTCACTGCAACCTCCGCCTCCTGGGTTCAAGTGATTCTCCTGCCTCAGCCTCCTGAGTAGCCGGGATTACAGGTGCCCGCCACCATGCCCAGCTAGTTTTTGTATTTTTGGTAGAGATGGGCTTTCACCATGTTGCCCAGGCTGGTCTCAAACTCCTGACCTCAAGTGATCTGCTGGCCTCAGCCTCCCAAAGTGCTGGGATTATAGGCATGAGCCACTGTGCCCGGCATCAAGTTATAGAATTCTTTAAATAAAGGTTGAATGTTGACTTAACCTATTTCACTGGCATAAACAAACTATTTTGGAAGACCCTGATTTTCTTGCACCACACTACAAAGAACCTCAGTATGATCCTCAGAACTTGTTCACATGAATGATGAGTGAGACATTTCATCATATTTTCTTTAAACAACCAGACTTTCTGCCACACAGCAAATTGAATGACTCATTTTACAAAGGCAAGTTCTTCCATTACTGGTGTTTACAGGATTGTTAATATTAAGGATACAGGTTGTATAAATACTCTATCCCCCAATGTCTTGAAACTATAAAGAAAAAAAGTTCAATGAAATTGAGGTTTATTTTTTGTAAAAGCATGGCTTTTGGTGTCAGGCAGCTATGGCTTTGAATCTTTGCTCTGTAATTTACTAGCTGCAGCTTTAAGCCAGTTAATTATCTTCTCTAAGCTTGTTTTCTTATCTAATAATGGGGTCAATGATATTTAATGTACAGGATGTTATAAGGAGTAAAGAAAATAATGTATTTCAAGCTTCTACTTCAAAATGATAATTATTTATTATTTCTATTTTTAAGATGATGATGTGCCTAGTACATATTAGACAATAAATATTTACTGAATAAATCAATGATCTCTGTAAAGAATTCAAAATGAAATACAAAATCTCTATCCACAAGGAATTTCTAAGCTAGGAGAGTAATTGCTAATAAAATACATGTAAATGAAGCTAGGTTTTAGATTTGATCTTGCGGGGGTCTAATGACTTATCCATATTATCCTGTTGCCAAGTATTCTCCCTAAGTAAGCCTGAGCCTGGTACCTGGGCACAGTCACAGTGTAATTTCTAACCTTGTGTACTTTTTATTTTTTATTTATTGATTGATTTTGAGATGGAGTTTTGCTCTGTTGCCCAGGCTGAAGTGCAGTGGCATTATCTCGGCTCACTGAGACCTCTGTCTCCCAGGTTCAAGTGATTCTCCTGCCTCAAGCTCTCAAGTAGCTGAAATTACAGGTGTGCGCCACCATGCCCAACTAATTTTTGTATTTTTAGTAGAGATGAGATTTCACCATGTTGGCCAGGCTAGTCTCAAACTCCTGACCTCAAACGATCTGCCCGCCTCAGCCTCCCAAAGTGCTGGTACTACAGGCGTGGGCCACTGAGCTCAGCCCCCTGTGTATTTTTTAGATGTAAATAAAAGAAATAAATCCAAGCTAATGTAAGTTAAAAGGGGAGATGGCATAAAAATCTAGGAACTGATATCTTACGGCACCCATGCATGGGATACATACAGTTAAATCTCAGGAAGGACTGAACCAAAAACTAGAAAGCACCCAAGATCTCTGTCTTTCTCTCTCACTCTCTCTCTCTCTCTCTCTCTCTCTGTCTGACTTTCAACTTTGTTTCTCTCAAAGCCTCTCCTTTCTCACAGCTGGGCCTCTTCTTGTTCTATACTACAGGGCAGAAGGACCCGTGAATCCTGAATCTGCAGGCTTTACATCCATCCTAATTCATATTCCTGAAGGAATCTGGCTGGCCCAGTTTCTTAGCCCATTTTGTGCTGCTATAGAAGAATACCACAGACTGGGTAATTTATAAAGAACAGAAATTTGCTGGCTTACAGTTCTGGGGGCCAGAAAATCCAGTGGCTCAGATCTATAATCCCAGCACTTTGGGAGGCCATGTCAGGAAGATTAGTTGGGCCCAGAGGTTTGACACCAGCCCGGGCAACATAGCAACACCTCCATCTCAAAAATAAAAATAAAAAACTTCTGCAGCAAACGTTCTAAATTTTCTGAAAGAGCTATATTTATAGATACAAGAAGCTTAATAAGCCCTAAAATAGGTGAAACTTGAAAACACCCAGACACATCATAATCAAACTATTGAAAAACAGAGGTAAAGAAAGCATCTTGAAAGCAGCTGGAAGAAAAAATGATAAATTACACATGAGGGAAAACTATGCCTATAGGTTTCTCATCTGAAACCACAGAGCCTTTGAGATGAAGGGGGAAATATATATATACACACCATGGGCCCCAGAAGACAAAAACAACTTTAAAGTGCTGAAAAATTAAACTACATAAAATAAAGCACTGGAAGAAAGAATATCAACTCAGAATCCTATATCCTGCAAAAATATATTTCAGGAATGCAAAAAAAAAAAAAAATGAAGTCATTCTCAGATGAAGAAAAACTAAGAGAATTCTTCGTCAATAAACTTGCTCTAAAATAAATGCGAAATAAAGTTTTTTAGGTAGAGGAGAAATTACATCAGAGAGAAACAGAACATTAAGAATTAATAACGAACAAAAGAAATGATGAATATCTGAATAAAGTATTTTTCTCCTCTTAAATTCTTTAAAAAATATATATGACTGTTGAATGCAAAAATCATAACATTGCCTATAATGTTCCAATGTATATAGATGTATTATATATGACAACTATAACATAAAGGGAAATGGATAGAGGAAGTAATATGATCATAAACCTTTTGTGGTTTACTGGAGCTGGCAAAATATTAACTCTATGTATACTGCGAAAAGTTAAGTACATTGTAATCCCTCAAGCAACCACTAAAAAAATACCACAAAGAGTCATAGCCAAAAACCCAATAAGTAAATTAAGTTAAAATATTATGAAATATTTAAATAGGTCAGGCACAGTGGATCACACCTGTAATCCCAGCACTTTGGGAACCTGAAGTGGACAGACCACCGGAGGTCAGGAGTTTGAAACCAGCCTAACCAACATGGTGAAACCCCTTCTCTACTAAAAATACACACACAAAAAAAAATTAACCAGGCATGTGGCATCTGTCTGTAATCCCAGCTACTATGGAGCCTGAGGCAGGAGAATCGCTTGAACCTGGGAGGTGGAGACTACAGTGAGCCGAGATCGCGCCATTGCACTCCAGCCTGGGCAACAAGAGCAAAATTCTGTCTCAAAAAAAAAAAAAAAAAAAAGAAAGGAAAGATTTAAATATTCCAAAAGAATCCCAGAAAGAGAATAAAACAGAAGTAGTGAACAGAAAACAAAAAGGTCATCCATCTCAAATTCAACAATTTTATTAAATATAAATTGTCTAAACACCAATTGAAGACAGATATTTTCAGACTGGATAAAAATAAGACCCAACTACATGTAGTCTGTAAGAAACACATTTTAAATGCAATAATATAGATATATTTAAAGTAACATGATAGAAAAAGGTAAAGCCCGAAAACAATAATCAAAAGAAACTTGAGTGCCTATCTTATTTTTAGACAAAGTAGACTTCAGAAAACAGAAAATTATCAGAGATAAAAAAGTACATTACATAATGATAAGAGAGTAAATGCATCAAGAAGACATAATACTAAATGTGTATGTATCTAACAACAGAGCTCTAAAATGTATGAAGCAAAAGCTGACAGAACTGAAGTGAATTGGACAAATCCGCAATTAGACTTGAAAGCATCACAGGACCATTAATCCTAATGAAATCTTGACCTCAGTTTGTCCCAGGCCTGTTTTGGCCTCAGTTGACTCTCTCCGTGCCTCTGGTTCCACAAAGGAATAACCCCGCCCCAGAGAGTTTAGGGTAACTGTGAAAGTGTGTTCTGTGAGGAGCCCACCCCAACCAGATGTGAGACTGTGAGCATGGCCAAACATTAGATACTTGTTGAAATTTTAGGAATTTTCCAAAAATGTCTCTCTGGGAAATTCAAGGATGCTCAAACACAGCATTAAGAGTTTGTTGTGGACAGGTATCATTTTGCATCTATCATCCATTCTCTCACTTCTGATAAGTGTCCCAATTTTGCTTAAAAAAAAAAAAAAAACTCTAAATACCCCTAGCTTAAGCTACAATTAAGCCAATATGAATATTTCATCCTCCTGACTCCAGTGATTGGTCAGAGACAGGCACACAACTTAGCCAGAGCCAATGAGATCCAAGGTTATACTTTCTGGAGCATCTGGGAAAGGGAGATTCCTCTCTCCTCTTTGGGCACCACCAGAAAACATGATGTTCATTCAGCCAGATGGTCTTTTTGATATCATGAGGGAAAGCCTAGAAATATACTGTGTAAAGGCTGAGGGCAAAGCCTACATGTGGAAGGCAGAGTAGAAGGACATACAGAAAAGGGTCTTGATTGTTTTGAGCCTTTGGTTCAAGCCTTATCTAAAGACAGACAGCTCTGGTAATTTCTGTCATGCAAAGGAACAAATTTTTCCATTTTTCCTTTTTTTTTTTCTTGCTTACAGTAGTTGGCATAATAGTTTGGGTTTTCTGTTGTGAATGACATTCACAACATAGAGTCCTGACTAACACAAGGTTTACTCTCACCTCTTCATCCTCTCTAAACCTCATATCTATCTTTCTCCAAAAATAAAAACAAAAGTGATGTGCAGCAAGTGTTTTTATGTTTAATACTGGATAGTATCTTTTTTTTTTTTTTTGAGATGAAATTTCACTCTTGTTGCCCAAGCTGGAGTGCAATGGCGCAATCTCAGCTCACTGTAACCTCTTGGATTCAAGTGACTCTCCCACCTCAGCCTCCTGAGTAGCCAGGACTACAGGCATGCACCACCATGCTCGGCTAATTTTGTATTTTTAGTAGAGATGGGGTTTCACCATGTTGGCCAGGCTGGTTTTGAACTCCTGACCTCAGGTGATCTGCCCACCTGGACCTCCCAAAGTGCTGTGATTATAGGCGTGAGCCACCATGCTCAGCCTGAATAGTATCTTCACTTGTAGAAAATAATATGCAAACACGTTAAAAGACAAAACTTTACATGGGGAAAAATAATATCTTAATAATTAGCAATACACATGTAAGAGAGAATTATTCAGAATTTAAAACTGTAAGCAAAACAATAGGTTTTTTATTTATATATTGATACAGAATGCTATTAACTCTGTTTTTGCTAAAATCTTCGAAGAGCAACGCTGGAGTTATTGTCTCCTGAGAGAATGTTTACCACCAACAACTACCTCAACCTGTAATTCTTAAAGAAGAAGAATAAATTCAGCAGGCCCAGTCTTCCCTGGCCCTGCTGGTACTCAAGGAAAAAATGACTTCAAAATTCCCCCATGGGCTTTGCATTTCAGACTCAAGCTACCTTCTTGATGGAAAATTCTTTAAGTGTTCTGAAAAGCACAATCATCCCTAACCTCAGTGGAAAAGATTCCAGCTGAATAAGCACTGGATACTTGAAACTAGGAATTTCCAATTAGCTGGGCATGGTGGCAGGCGCCTGTAATCCCAGCTGCTCAGGAGTCTGAGGCAGGAGAATCACTTGAACCAGGGAAGCGGAGGTTGCAGTGAGCTGAGATTGCGCCACTGCCACTGCACTCCAGCCTGGGCGACAGAGCGAGACTCCATCTCAAAAAAAAGAAAAAAAAAAAAAAAAAAAAAAAAACTAGGGATTTCCTAAAATGAAAATGTTTCTGTGGATAAAAACTGGTTACATGCAGAGACTGATCTGGAGTTAATTCTGGGTAGATACAGGGTTCAAGAGATTGGTCTTCGTGAGGCATTTATCAAGGATCTGCAAGGGATTCAGAGGTGCAGGAAACACAGTTGTTACTGGGTAGTTGCCTCTAGCCTGGTTGGAGGTGTTTCTCATACCCAGGACTCTCATCATGGCAAAAAAAAAAAAAAAAAAGTAAGGTATCATATCCGAGAAGCTCCTGGCCAGGTGGTCTTGAGGAGCAAGGAGGAGTTCAGCACGTTGAGATGCAGTTGGCTTTCCAAGTTGGAGGGAAGAGCATAAGAAGGGACACAGATAAGAGGAAATAGACTAGTGCAGGGGCCATTGAGTAGCAGTCCTTCTAGGACAAGACTTCATCACAACCACTTTCTCTGAGGGAGCTCTGCTGGGGGGATGTTTCAATTCATGAGAAAGGCAAATTCAATGGCTCTCAGGTGAGGTGGGCAACAGGCAGCTACCAACACTCCAGAGAGACCATGTACTTCTACAACAGGGCACAGTCTAGTGAGCAAAGTCCACAGTTCTGGGTTTGATTTCTAGCACTGTCACTTAATACTTGTGTGACCTTAGACATTCACTTAACTCTCTCAGCCTCAACCCAATCTGTAAAACCAGGAGAATGCTTGTTCCCAGTGCCTTACAGAATCGACATGAGCATCGGGAGAGACAGTGGGCACAAAACAGCATTGTCAGCTACTTCTTTCTCATCAGTTATCTGGTCATGTTTGTGAAGCTCTCCAGGACTGGGAACATAGCATATGATTTTTTTTAAGTTACTTGATGAATGAATGAACAAATGAATGAGTAAATGAATAATATTCAAAGGCCTTCGACTAAATAATAATCAATCTCCTAACTGTACGGAAAGCCTTTAATAGACTTTGGGGCTGTTTGGCCTGGAGGAGGCTCTGAGTTAGTGGATTCAGTTGGTGTCATGGTAAAGAAGAAACCCTGTGAAGGTGGAGTCATTGACATTATCAGCATAGAGTCCATTATGCTCTCCTTCCCCATACACCTGGAGCCAGACTTGGTCGCCCACCTCCAGATGCAGGAGTACCGAGCCAGAGGCCTGGTCCACATTCTTGTCCTGGTACTGGTCATAGGTGAAGAGCATAGCTTTGTCCTTCTTGAAGAGGCTGACCTTCACATCCTTCATATAGACTGTGATGTGGTAGGAGAAGTAGTACAGCCCAGGAATGTTGCAGTGGAACTTTCCAGTGGAGCCATCATAGTGGTTTTGCAGATTGTAGAAGATCTTGGTAAAGCGAATGGGCACATTGGGGACAGTAACCCGGGTCTCCAATCCCACACTGAATGCCGAGCGGTATACATACGCACTTTCTCCAGGTTCTCCTTTTCTGCCTTGCGTACCTGGAAAGCCTCGAGGACCTTCGGTCCCAGTTACACCAGTTTCACCAGTGTCTCCCTTAGGACCAATAAGACCTAAGGAATAAGAAGACCTCAGTGACCACAGAGAACAGAACTCCTGCCTAGGTTGGTTACAGCCTAAAGTACCGTCCCTGTGACTCCCACTCACAACCTGCTTGACTTACAGAGCAAGAAATCAATAAGAGCTCCCAAAAGGGGAGAGAGATTACTTCCTCCTACTACACCTCCCACAGACAGGCAGGCTCCCATAAATGCATCTCCATCTTTATCTCCTATAGGTCTCTCTCACAGACCCTCCACCCTGCCAGCCCTTTATGTGCTGGCACTATCAACCTTGGTTTTGCAACTCTGTCCCCTTCATCTAGGATGTCTCTCCTCCTCTATTCTGCCTACCCATCGTTCAAGGCCTAGCTGAAGCTCTGCCTCCTCCTTGAAGCTTTTATTCTTCATCCAGGTCATCAGTGAGCACACTTTCTCCATGCTCTATACTTTAAGTACTTGTTCATATTCAGTTTTGACATTTTTAGAGTAGACTTTCTTGTAGTAACCACCAACAGAGCCTTGCACATCTTAACTAGATCGAGACATTTTAACTAGATCAAGACAGAGTTTCCCAAAGGCTGGACTGTGCCCTTGAGGGGGCCTATAGTGAGTGTGGTTGAATGCCACTGGATGGAATGGAAATTAAATAGACAGAAAGAGGAACCAGAATATGAACGTATTCGGAATAGGGATGAGGGTGAAGATGGGAAAGGGGACGGTGAAGGGAGATGCAGATGCAGCAAAATCAAAGTCTTGGTTATAGAGGCACCGCCTATTCTCGTCCTTGGAAGACCAACCCGAAATCCACTTCAGGTTGCTTATGGTTTACATTAAAAAAGCTTTAATTCCTGCCTGTGTCTAGGCCTTAGTTAATAACGAATACCTTCAAACAGTTTATATCAATCCAGGAAGTCTGTGATAAAAGAGGTCAAAAATTCTTACCTGGATCTCCTTTCTCACCCTTCTCGCCAGGGGTGCCATCTCTGCCATCACGGCCTGGGGTCCCATTATGGCCTGGATGCCCTGGGATGCCCGCTATCCAACCTGTGCAGGCCCCCTTGGGTGGAGGAAGCAGGACTCCGGGCTCTTCATCTGTGGTATCCTGGCCACGAATGGGCAAAGCTAATAGCAGTAGAACAGCTCCCAGCAACAGCATTCTGAGCCCTGGAATTCACATGTGCACTGTCGGCCAGGGAGAGACAGACTCTGCACAGCACACCCAGTTGGCACGTACACAGGACTCCATCCATCTCACCAGAGTCCACTTCTATGAACTGCTTCCTCAGCATTTAACTCTTCTAGGAAGACTTTTCTGAATATTGCAGCCCACCTTGATCTCTTTCTGCCCCGAAATTTGTAATACTTCCTATTATTCCCTGTGTGGTCTCCTTTCCTCACCAGGATTATGAATTCAGTGATAGCACGGATGACACTCCTCTAATTTTTCCATATCTGGGCACAGGACCAGGCACAGGGAAAGCTCCAAGAGTCAAATTGCCAAGAATGCATCCTTGAGTTTCCCAAGAATGATGACCCAGATTGCTCCATTCAAAGCTAACCAGTTTCTCTCCCCGGCTCCTTTCTTCTTTTCCTTTCCCTCCTTCTCTCTCATTTTCTGTGTCTATTCCTCCTTCTTACTTTCCTATTCTTTGTCTTCCTTTACCCCTCTCCTGGGGCACATGATTGACCATTTGGTATATTACACTTGCACGCACGCGCGCACACACACACACGTACACATTCACACACAGCCTCACCTTGAGTTAAACAGGTAATGAGAGACGCACTGTCCCATGAAGACATCCACTGACCCTTTGTTTGCCTGGGCCACCTTTAGCTGCCCCTCCTCCCCTGTCTAATCTCTATTCAGCCTTTAGGACCCAGTTCGGATGTTGCCCAGGCTAGTCTCAAACTCCTGACCTCAGGTGACCGCCTGCCTCGGCCTCCCAAAGTGTTGGGATTAAAGGTATGAGCCACCATCCCTGACCCTTGCCTCTAAATGTCAAACAGTTCTTATTCATGCTAAGATTTGGTAAGTATTCCATTTTCTCCTGTTTTTTTTTTTCTATTGTTTGGTATAGTTAAAATTTCACTCTGTAATGTAACTCTGACTTTTTTGTTTTGATGTGTGACCTAAAGTACTCAAAGGATTTATCCCCACTTGAAAACTACCTGTTACAACATCTTTAATTGCATTAATCTTTTCTCTCGCTATAGATCTGATGCATCATTTATCAAATATTAGGCTCTAATATGATCTTATAAGTAAAGTAACAATTGAGAATGAAATGGCAGACAGAGAGGAGAAGAGACACAGAAACAGCAGCAGAAACAGGTGCAATCAGGCTGAGCCGCTGCCCCGAAGGTGTCGTGAGTCTTTAAGACCCACTCCTGTCATTTACGTACATTTGTCGCCCTCTACTGATTTGAAGAGTTCAGGAGAGTGTTCTCAATAGCTGCTGGAAATAAAATGAGGAACAGCTTAGGCTTGATTAGCCTCAAGATAAGAAAAAAGAGGTGAGCTGCTTGAGAAGCCAAGGAGAGACCAGCAAAGCCCCTTTGGTATTTAAGGAGAATTCTTGTTCTGAGACTTTAAAGATTTCACGCATCTTTAAACGTTCTCACTGCTTGTCACCTCCGCCCTTTCTTATTATGGCTTTAGCAATAAAACTCCTGAGAAGAACTTTGAGCTCCATGCATGTCTTTCTCCCAAAACGGGAAGAATCTATGACACTCTGTCCTTTTCCACTGGGAAACAGGAGGAGAGAATCCAGAATACGTGAACTGGTGGAGGCAGCTAAGGAAGGCCCCAAAGATAAAGGGTGAGTAAGGGTTTACACAAACCTTGGAGAGACGGCAAAGTCAGAGGTCTCTAGAGTTTTCTGGTTCCTCCCTCCTTGTTAGAACAAAGACCCCTTTCTCCTACCCTAAGGGAACACACTTTGTCCCCAACACTTCAGTATTATGGACAGATTTCTCCACAAATAGGAGCAATCAGTCTGGGTTCCATGACAATGGCATGGGGTAGAAGTGCTGAAAATACAAGAGTGGGAATAAGCACAGGAGTCTCAGAAACTTCTGAAACTAAGTATGGATCCTGATTGAAAAAGAAGGTTGCATTCTAACTTAATTCTGGATGAAAAATCAGCAATTAATAACAACTGAAGATCAGTGCAGATGAACCTAATTTTAAAAAATTATTTCAAAATTATTTGTGTTCTGTTTTTATTTTTTATTTATTAGGAGACGGAGTCTTGCTCTATTGCTAGCATCTTGCCCTCTCCAAGTCTCAGGTTCTCCTACACGTTACAGTCAAAAGCAGGGCTATGGGAAGGAAGATTCAGTGAAATAAGTTTTGAAAATGCCTATGAAAATTACACTCCGAGGAACCCTCGCCAATGTCAGTGTTCTCGTGTTTCTCATCTCACATGATCCCATTTAGCAGATTAGGAAGCTGAGTCTGAGAAGCTCCACGTTAACACTTTCAGAGGCACTGTGATGTGATGGAAGGCTCACATGTTTGAGAATCAGAACAGAGTCTCTCAGTTTCCTCATCTCTGAAGTTGGGGTCATGTATATTAAATGACAAACATCTAAAAATATCTGTATGTTTTAGATACAGCCATTGCTACACTTCGTTACACTCCCTTCCTTCCTTCCTTCCTTCATATCACTGTGAAAGCCAATTGATAGAAGTATGAAGAAGTATTTTATAAACTTATAAAGTGCTCCACACATAAGTTTATAAAAGAGAACAGAAGCAAGCAAATGTGCATGGACCACTGCTATATAGCCATCATCCCTTTGTTATTGTTGTTGTTGTTGCTGCTGTTGTTATTGTCAAAATGGAGTCTCACTCTGTCACCCAGGCTGGAGTATAGCGGCACGATCTCGGCTCACTGCAACCTCTGCCTTCCAGGTTCAAGCAATTCTCCCGTCTCAGCCTCCCAAGTGGCTAGAACTACAGGCACCCGCCACCACACCCAGTTAATTTTTGTATTTTTAGTAGAGACGGGATTTCACCATATTGGTCAGGCTGGTTTTGAACTCCTGACCTCAGGTGATCTGCCCGCCTCAACATCCCAAAGTGCTGGGATTACAGACATGAGCCACTGCACCCAGCTGCCATCATCCCTTTAACCTCAATTTGACCACACAACCCTGGGAGGTAAGACCCAATTCCTACAGAAGAAATCCAAGGACCAAACAGGTTCAGTAAATTCTGCCCAAAGATAACAAGTAAAAGAGGGCAGAGGTACGATTTGAAGTCCAATTCGCTGTACTGGCTTTGTCCTGCACTGGCTTTCCTGGCAAACCCCTCACTTGCATGGATTTTTTTGCTTTTAAAATTACATAAGCGGATGACCATGATGTTCTTGGGACCCTACAGGGCCATAGTGTGATCATTTATCTTCATGTTAAAATGTATGAGAAATTTCACTTTGACCTACTGGAATTTCAGTTGCAACAGCAGAATCCTGTGAAATGCAGGGACAGGGCCCCCTCTGGGACCGGCAGGAGGCAGAGCTGTATGGGGGAAAGAGGTCACCAGACCTGGTGCCAACTCCTCCAGCAGAAAAGGTCATGAAAGCACACAGAACTGGCCAGGCACAGTAGCTCACGCCTATAATCCCAGCACTTTGGGCGGCTGAGATGAATGGATCACATGAGGTCAGGAGTTAAAGACCAGCCTGGCTAATATGGTGAAATCCAGTCTCTACCAACAATACAAAAAAAAAAAAAAAAAACAGCTGGGGGTGGTGATGCCTGCCTGTAATCCCAGCTACTCAGGAGGCTGATACAGGAGAATCACTTGAACCTGGGAGGCAGAATTTGCAGTGAGCTGCATTCCAACTTGGGCAACAGAGCAAGACTCTTGTCTCAAAAAAAAATAAAAGCATACAAAATCCTCAAGTGTCGGAACCAAAAGGGACCCCCAAAATCACCTCACCCCTGCTTTGCTTTTACAAATGGGAAATCTGAGGGGAAGAAGTAGGAGTGCAATTATAACCTTAGAGAAGCCAGCTCCCATGCTAGATTTTACACATTATTTATTTTCATCTTACAATAATTCCATGAAGGAAGGAAAATGACCTCAACTTCAGAGATAAGGAAACTGAGTAATTAAGAAAATGATCGCTGAAAGACTCTGTTCTGACTCCCAAACCCATGAGCTTTCCATCACATCACAGTGCCTCCGAAAACATTACACGGAGCTTCTCAGACTCAGCTTCCTAATCTGCTAAACAGGATCATGTGAGATGAGGAACAAGAGAACACTGACATTGGCAAGAGTTCCTTGGAGTGTAATTTTCATAGGCATTTTCAAAACTTATTTCACTGAATCTTCCCTTAGCCCTGCTTTTGACTCTGATGTGTAGGAGAACCTGAGACTTGGAGAGCAAAAGATGCTAGCTAATTCAACCACTGGGTTGAATTGCATGTAACTGACATTTTTGAAAGTCAAAATGGGCTGGACACAGTGGTTCATACCTGTTATCCCAGCACTTCGGGAGGCCGAGGTAGGCAGATCACCTGAGGTCAGGAGTTCGAGACCAGACTGGCCAACACGGTGAAACCCTGTCTCTACTGAAAATATAAAAACTAGTCAGGTGTAGTGGCAGGTGCCTGTAATCTCAGCTATTTGGGAGGGCGAGGCAGGAGAATCATTGAACGCATGAGGCAGAGGTTGCAGTGAGCCAAGATCACACCATTGCACTCCAGCCTGGGTGACAAGAGTGAAACTCCACCTCAAAAAAATAAATAAATAAATAAATAAAAGTCAAAATGTAAAATATTGGCAGTTTCACATGGTGCAACCCAATAATAAATGGCATAACCAGGAATCAACTCAGCTTTGCCTAGCTCCAAGGAGCTTTGCCTGAGAGCCTTCACTCAGCCCTGAGAGAGCTGTCAATATCTCCATGCCTAACCCACACATATACCCACACCCACACACACACCTCCACCTAAGCACAGGCACACCTACACACCACACCCACACATCCACACACATATGCACCACCCCCACACACACATACACGCCCATCCACGTGAGCATGCAAACACACACACATTCCCACACCCATACACACACCACCACCTAGGCACAGGCACACCCACACAACACACCCACACATCCACACACATATGCACCACCCCCACACACACATACACAACCATCCACGTGAGCACACGCACACACACACACATTCCCACACCCATACACACACCTCCGCCTAGGCATGGGCAAACCCACACACCACACCCACACATCCATACACATATGCATTGTCCCGCACACACACAGACATGCCCATCCACATAAGCACACACACACACACACAAATTCTCAAGGAACTAATAAAGCAGAGCATCCCCCCACCACATTTTTTGGATAAGTCTCTCTCCACATGAAGGAGTTTCTGATTGAAATTCTTGATTGAAGGCTGGGCGTGGTGGCTCAAGCCTGTAATCCCAGCACTTTGGGAGGCCGAGGCGGGTGGATCACGAGGTCAAGAGATGGAGACCATCCTGTTCAACATGGTGAAACCCCGTCTCTACTAAAAATACAAAAAAAAATTAGCTGGGCATGGTGGCACGTGCCTGTAATCCCAGCTACTCAGGAGGCTGAGGCAGGAGAATTGCCTGAACCCAGGAGGCGGAGGTTGCGGTGAGCCGAGATCGCCCCATTCCATCCCCCCCCGGGAAACACGAATGGGGCGCCGATTATATCCTTGAAAAAAAAAAGAAAAGAAATTCTTGATTGAAGCCATCTGCTCTCCAAAAGACATCACCTCTTGACTTTAGCCATATGTCTGGGACCACCAGTCTGCTGGCTTGACAAGGAGTAGATGGAAAGTTTGTCGCTATCGCCACCTTAAAAAGGGCAAGGATATAATCCCCACCCTTTGGGAGGCTGAGGTGGGAGGATTGCTGAGCCCAGGAGTTTGAGGCCAGCCCAGCCAACATAGTGAGACCCCGTCTCTGCAAAAAAAAATTTTTAATTAGCCAGGCATGGACCATCTGTAGTCCCAGCTACTCAGGAGACTAAGACGGAAGGGTCCCTTGAGCCCAGGAAATCAAGGCTGCAGTGAGCTGTGATTGCACCACTGCACTCCAGCCTGGGTAACAGAGGGAGACCCTGTCTCAAAAAAACAATAAAAGAAAAGGCTGGGCGTCGTGGTTCATGCCTGTAATTCCAGCACTTTGGGAGGCCAAGGAGGGCAGATCACCTGAGATCGGGAATTCCAGACCAGCCTGACCAACATGGAGTTCCCAATGTTCTGGACTTCTGTCTACAGATATCCCCAAATCTATAGACAACAGTCATGTCACACTCATGATTGTATCTCGTGAACTCAACCCTGTCTCTACTAAAAATACAAAATTAGATGGTTGTAGTAGTGCATGCCTATAATCCCAGTCACTTGGGAGGCTGAGGCAGGAGAATTGCTTGAACCCAGGAGGCAGAGGTGGCAGTGACCCGAGATTGTGCCATTCCACTCCAGCCTGGGCAACAAGAGTGAAACTCCATCTCAAAAAAAAAAAAACGACTAGGAGCCAGTCTGTGTCTATCCTTAAGGCTCCTCAAGACTGAAGGAAGGGCAGCAGCAGGGACAGCTGAGGAAGCTGCAGGGCTCCCTTTGTGCCTTGGCCTTGCTGAACCAAGCTGACTCCATCATGCTCCTTTGGACATATTCTGCTAGCATAAAGGGACCCCGATCTCCCCAACCTAATTAGGCAGAGCTGGCCTTCCTTCTGGCAAAGTCCCTAAGAGTGAGTTGGTGTCACCCCTTGCGAGGCTTGATCCAAAAACCAGAACTTCCCCGGACCAGGGATCCATGTCCTCAAACACAAGAGGAGAGGGGCTGACCAAAACTCTCAAATCCCTCCCACTCTGCCCTTCAGTATCTACAGCTCAGAACTACCAGGATGCCTCAGAAACAGCATTCACTGGGACGAATGGCATTAGGCGTCACAAAAACCAGGTCGATCTGGTTTCTTCTGTCAGAAAATGTTTTTTTAATTACGATTTTTCGTAAGTTCCCACTATATGCCAGGGTCTTCTCATTTTATCTCATTAGACCTTCTTTCTTTATTTTGACACAGTCTCACTGTGTCTCCCAGACTGGAATGCAGTGCTAAGATCTCAGCTCACTGCAACCTCCACCTCCCAGGTTCAGGCAATTCTCCTGCCTCAGCTTCCTGGGTAGCTGGGATTGCTGGCGCCTGTCATCATGCCCGACTAATTTTTGTATTTTTAGTAGAGACAGGGTTTTATCGTGTTGGTCAGGCTGGTCTAGAACTCCTAACCTCAGGTGATCCATCCACCTCAGCCTCCCGAAGTGCTGGGATTACAGGCGTGAGCCACTGCACCCAGCCTCCTTAGATCCTCTTGATGACCCTGTAAGATAACCCCATACCTATAGATATCCCCAAATCTATAGACAACAGTCATGTCACACTCATCATTGCATCTCGTGAACCCAACCCAGTGTCTGGCCCATAGAACGCTCAGTAAATATTTGCTGAATAGAATAAAGTGGCAGAGCCGGATTCCAAATTCTGGTCTGAAGTCAGTGCTCAGATTGGCTTT